ATGATAAATTACATAAAATATTGGATGCCTTCCATAGATGAATAGGTTAGCTCTTTATAGAGTTGAATAAAATATGATTCATCTAATTATCAACAAACATAAACCAAACTCCAACAATAAATCAACCAAAATCCAACCATAAAAAAAACTGCTAAAATCGCCCTTCGCGGCCACGACGAGCTCCGCGGCCGCGGGATTTCAATGCTGAAGTTTGGGACTTGGAGCTGTTTTGGTCGCCGCGGCCGCGGCGAAGAAAATCTCGCGGCCTCGGGGATCAAAATCTGCACTGCACCATCTTACGATTTTTTCTCGTTCGGGTTCGTTTTAACTCGGAATTGAGTTCCGTTTTTTCTTACGCGTCGCTAACGAACCCCTCTATCCAATGATGCTTGCAAACCACACTATTGCTCAGAGTACAAATTATGTAGAATTTCCAACCTTTAAAGGGTTGGTAACTTGCGCAGCTTCGCGTTTTGGTTCCGTCCGGATTCATCCGAACTTGAAACCAAACTCCGTTTTTTCCTATGTGTAGCCAATGAGTCCATCTACATAACCATGATTGCCCGATACATGTCATTTCCTCATGATGCCTCCGACCTGCACACAAAAAACAAGAAGATAAACGGGAAAAACACACGAAAAACACAAAGGAAACCAAAATAAAGGAAAACACAGAATAAACTATAACACAAAATAAAAACCAACTAAAAGACATAAAACGGGGGAAAAAGAATGATAAAACAATAACGAAAATCGCAACAAAAATGGTCACAACAACTCCCCCACACTTAAACCTTTGTTCGTCCCGAACAAAGAGAAAAGAAAACAAAATACGAACATGGGTATCATTTCAAATAAGTCATGCTTCAAAATATTTAACTCTATCAAGTCGAATTCCAACGACCATACGACCATTTGCCTCAAATATAATCTCGGCCTTAAAATGGCAACTCTCAAAGATAATCATATATGCCTCACTCATTTTCTTGTTTGAATATGTGATAGGTTCTCTCAAAATTGGTCGATATTCACTTTTCAACATATGCTTGACAATCGTCTAGATTACTCGGAATCAACCAAAGCTTAAAATTTTTGAATCAAGAGGACTTCTCGGGTTGTAATGTGGGATATAACAAAGGTAATGATAAATATATGGACAAGAAAACTCAAATAAACAATCAAAGTTTTCGAGTTATAGAATACTCGAATGTCCGCCACTCGACCAAATCAACAAGATGCACGCATACCATCCACCAATGTCTCCGCAAACAACACCTATATGCTCCAATTGAATTGCAATATTGCTCGACTTATTACACAATTGTGTTTTTTTTTTTTAGAGAGTTACTATTTCCGAACAAGCTCGAATCGCAAGGACAATATTCCTTAGGTTTAAACATTGGAAGTCATCCAAGTGTCCTAAGGTGGTTTCCCCATACTCATTACTCGTTAAAATGAATAATATGTAAGCGGAGTAGAATCCAATTGATTCGTCTTGCGAGCTCTCATGTATTTTTTTTTATTTCATTTTTTTTTTAAATATGGTAAAGCATAAAATGCAACTCGATTTTCACCTCTTTCAAAAATATTGCCACTTCACCAATCGTCACTCAAAACCTGTCAACAATCATATATATATGTGGTTTACAAGAAAAGGCTTCAAGTTCAAACGGGCTACTAGCGGAAAATGTATTTCTAGGGTCAAGAACAAGGCAAAACGAGCTAACAATCAAAACGCCTAAATCATTTTCGCAATTTCAAACTTAAACCGATTCTTTTCAAATAGACTCACGGCAAGTTCTAATCATTCGAGAATACGACCAATATCTCTCAAAAAATAAGAATAAGGATCGAAACCTCACAAGGTAAATAAATGTCAATTAAAGCAATCAAGTAAATATCGAGACAATGATCAATACGTTCGTCATCACATCTTCCCAATTTCATCAAACATTTATCAACAAATCATATAATTCACCGATAACACATGTTCGACAACAACCTATCACAAAAACACACAAAATCCAAGACGGAGTCGCCAACTCCCCCACACTTAAAATAATGCAATGTCCCCATTGCATCGACACATAAATGGAAATAAAAACAAAAAACTGGGAATTCAAACAAGAAAAAGAAAAGAGTGTGCAAACCAAAGTAGCCTCAATGGAAATAAGCATTCGCGTTCAAACCTTCCGTCCCTTTATCAACCGGTCCTCGATACGACCTGTCAAGAAAACAAACTCCACAAACTCCCATCATTCAAAGAAAATAAAAAACAAAATGAAAAGCATAAACGAAACACACAAGAAAGCAGTAAATCACTTGGGTTGCCTCCCAAGAAGCGCTTATTTAACGTCATTAGCTTGACGAAACCTGATTTTTTTTAAATAAAAATATATATATAGACATAATAATATATACAAATGTACTCGGTTTATTGCCGCGAGCTCGGCATTATCACGATCAAATGTATTGTGGTTCGCCGAGATCGATGGTCTCGACGTGCTTCTTCCTGACTTCACCTCCGATGTATGGCTTGATCCTTTGGCCGTTAACAACAAATAACTCACCGGTAGACGGGTTCCGAAGTCGAAATGTCCCGAAAGATATAACCTCGTCCACAATGAACGGGCCACTCCACCGGGACTTAAGTTTTCCCGGGAAAAACCGAAGTCGGGAATTAAAAAGGAGAACTTGCATACCCGGCACCAACTCCTTCCGGACAATACGAGCGTCGTGGAGTCATTTGACCTTGTCCTTATAAATCTTCGAATTCTCGTACGCCTCGTTTCGCAATTCCTCGAGTTCCGATAGTTGCAACAATCTCTCATTTCCGGCCGAATCAAGGTCAAAGTTCATCTTCTTAATCGCCCAAAACGCTTTGTGTTCGATCTCGACCGGAGATGGCAAGCCTTCCCGTAGACAAGCCGAAAAGGGCTCATCCCCAACACTCCTTTGTATGCAGTCTGTTGTGCCCATAATGCGTCGTCGAGTCGTCGGGACCAATCCTTTCGGGATGAATTCACCGTCTTCTCTAAGATAGTCTTAATTTTCTTGTTGCTCGTCTCCGCTTGCCCTGACGTTTGTGGATGGTAGGGTGTCGCCACCTTGTGTGATATGGCGTATTTTGTCATCAACTTCTCGAATAGACGGTTGCAAAAGTGTTTGCCTCCGTCACTCACAATGGCCCGAGGGAATCCGAACCTGCTCAAAATATTACCTTGCAAAAACTCGATAACTACGTTAGCGTCGCATGTCCTTGTGGGGATGGCCTCGACCCACTTGGACACATAATCAACCGCAAACAAAATATACTCGAAACCGAAGGACTTAGTAAACGGTCCCATAAAATCGATGCCCCAAACATAAACAATTTCAACTTGTAGATTGTTAACAAGAGGCATTTCATTTCGGGAACCGATATTCCCAATCCTTTGACAACGGCCGCAAGCCTTACAAAAATTATGAGCATCTCGGAAAATAGTAGGCCAAAACAAACCTGATTGGAGGACTTTAAAGGCGGTCTTTCGACCCCCAAAGTGACCTCCGCAATGAAACTCGTGGCAAAAGGCAAGAACATCCGATTGTTCTTCTTCAGGCACACACCTCCGTAGCACCTCGTCTTTCCCCATCTTATAGAGAAACGGATCATCCCAATAGTAATTCCTACACAATGTAACAAATCTTTTCCTCTCTTGAAAAGAGAGGTTAGCCAACAAAACACCATCGGATAAATAATTTACTATATCCGCATACCACGGATGACTCAACACTTCACTCAATTGCTCATATGGAAAATCGTCACTAATGGTAACATGCTCGTGCAATGTGAGTGATGAATCGGAAGGAACAATACGAGACAAATGATAGGCTACAACATTTTCACACCCTTTTCTATCACGAATTTCAACGTCAAATTCTTGTAAAAGTAAAATCCACCGAATAAGTCTCGGTTTCGATTGAGTTTTACTCAAAAGATACCTTAATGCCGTATGATCGGAATGCACAATTACTTTAGATTCCAAAATATAAGATCTAAATTTATTGAGAGAAAAAACTATGTCAAGGAGCTCTTTTTCGGTCGTCGTGTAATTTAATTGAGCGCCGTTTAAAGTCAAACTAGCATAATAAATCATGTGAAGTAATTTATCAACTCGTTGACCTAAAACGGCTCCAACAGCAAAATTTGACGCATCACACATTATTTCAAAGGGTAACGACCAATCCGGCGCAATCACAATAGGTGCTGTTACGAGCTTATTTTTCAACTTTTCAAAAGCATCTAAACATGCATTATCAAAAACAAACGGCACATCGTTAGCAAGCAAACGACATAATGGTTGGCTTATTTTTGAAAAATCTTTGATAAAACGCCTATAGAAACCGGCATGACCCAAAAAGCTTCTAACACCTTTAACATTTATGGGAGGGGGAAGTTTTTCAATCACATCGACCTTAGCTTTGTCGACTTCAATTCCTTTATTAGAAATAACGTGTCCCAAAATAACTCCACTTTTAACCATAAAATGACTCTTTTCCCAACTTAAGGTCAAGTTAGACTCAATGCAACGCTTGAGAACTTGAGATAAATTATGGAGACAATGAGAAAAAGAATCACCGAAGGTAGAAAAATCATCCATAAATACCTGAAGGAAGTCCTCGAGCATATCGGAAAAGATAGAGAACATACACCTTTGGAAAGTCCCAGGTGCATTGCAAAGTCCGAAAGGCATACGTCTAAATGCAAAAGTGCCGAATGGACATGTGAATGTGGTCTTTGGCTGATCCTCGGGAGTAATTGCTACTTGGTAGTAGCCGGAAAGGCCATCTAGAAAGCAATAGTATTGGTGACCGGAAAGGAGATCAAGGATTTGATCAATGAATGGCAACGGAAAGTGATCTTTCTTGGTCACGGCATTGAGTTGCCGGTAGTCAATGCACATTCTCTACCCGGTAGTAATACGGATGGGAATCATCTCCTTCTTTTCATTCTCGATAACAGTGATACCGCCTTTTTTTGGCACCACGTGGATAGGGCTCACCCATTCGCTATCGGCTACCGAAAAAATAAGCCTTTCGGAGTAGAGCTTAAGTACCTCCTTCTTAACAACTTCCATCATATTCGGATTAAGCCGTCTTTGGCTATCCCGAAATGGCTTGGCACCATCCTCCAAAACGATCCGATGCATACATGTGGAAGGGCTAATACCTTTAAGATCTCCTAAACCCCATCCGATGGCTTGTTTATTCGTTCGGAGTACCTCAAGTAGCTTTCTTTCTTCATCCTTTGCAAGTTCGGCGAAAATAATTACCGGCTTTTGCATTTCTTCATCTAAAAATACGTACTTGAGATGTCGAGGTAGTTCTTTTAGCTCTAGGGTTGGTTTTGCATCGGGCTGGTCGGTTGTGCAAAGGTCGACGGTTGGTTTTTTGTTATCTTCAAAATCGGGTATGTACCTTGCTTTCCATTCTTGTTGGGTTATCTTTTCGACGAACGGGTCAGTTATATCAACAAATGCGCATTCCTCCACAAAATTCACCGAGGATGCAGATGTGGCCTCTCGGACTGAAATAGATACGGACTCGCCCAACACTGTTATATTTAGCGTCCCATTCTTTACGTTAATAAGCGTGTTAGTGGTGGCCATGAATGGTCTCCCGAGAAGGATGGTGTGATCCTTCTCATTCTCGTGCACTTATCCCACGTCAAGAATAACGAAATCTACGGGGACAATAAGCTTACCCACATGAACTAGCACGTCTTCCACCACCCCTTTTGGATATCATATTGAATGGTCAGCGAGTTGGAGGAACATACGGGTTGGTCTCAAGTCTCCGAAACCGAGCCGTTGGAATATTGAGAATGGCATAAGGTTGATTCCGACTCCTAGGTCGAGCATCCCCGAAGCTTCTTTTCCATTCCCGAGGGCTATTTTAATCACGAAACCCCCGGGATCACGTTCCTTTTTGGGTAAGTCATGGTGCATGGTGCTCGCCGCCTCGTACACCACAACTTTCTCACCGTCTTCAAATCTTCTTTTCTTTGTCACCAAATCCTTGAAAAATTTCACATAGGACGACATGTTTTTAATTACGTCGAGAAGCGGTAAGTTGACATTGACTTTGGACAGCATGTTGTATAAATCCCGGAATTGCTTTTCTTGTATTTCGTCCCGAAGTCGTCCCGGAAAAGGGATACGTGGTTTGAATGGATTTGTGGACTTATGTAAAAATGGACCTCCCACCGGCTTATTCGAATTTGTCTGTGTGCTATCCTCAACATCATTGTCTTTGGGCTTATCTGTTGGCTTTGGATCCTTCGTTTCAGGCATTTTGACTTGGTTGTTGACAACTTTGCCGCTCCGTAAAACGGTAATTGCCTTTGCTTGCTCGGGTTGGCTCGGAAGCTTCCCTTTGTCGGATCCGGCCTCCAAATTGCCAACTCTTGAAGCGAGTTGGCCAATTTGAGTCTCCATGCGCTTGATGGTGGATTCTTGGTTTGTCATAAATTGGAGGATTTTATCCAATTTTCCATCTTGAGTGGCCGAACTAGGACCAGCCCCTTGGTTTTGCATCCCTCCCATAGGACCCCTTTGTGGTTGCTGTTGTTGAGGGAAGTTTGGTCTCATGTGTTGTTGAGGAGCGAAGTTTGGCCAGTTCGGTTGTTGCATGAAATTTTGTCGGGGTTGTTGGGTGTTGTTGTTGTTTGACCACGAGAAGTTGGGGTGATTTCGCCATCCAGGATTGTATGTGTTGGAGTACGGATCATTGACAGGTTGGTTTTGGTAGCCTTGGAGAGCATTGGCATCAATATGTGGCTCTCCGAAGTCTTGGTCGAAAGCGGATGGGCACACTTCGGAACGGTGCCCATGTACTCCACATGTTCCGCATGATTCGATCGTCATGGCTTGTACCGATTGGATACTTCTTGCATTAAGTAACCCCATTTGTTCCGTAAGCTCGGCGATTTGATGAGCTATCATATCTTGTCTGGGTGCTATCTCGTGAACCATTGCCTTCTTTCCTCGGCTACTCTTTTGAGATGAGTTTGTACTCATCGTCTCAAAAATCTCCATCATTTCTTCAGCCGTTTTTGCTCCTATGTCGCCACCAGTCGCATTATCCACCATGTATTGAAAGTTTTGATGGAGAGAGTCGTAGAAGCTATTCATCAACAAAGCGGGTGGAAAATTGTGGTGTGGGCATTGTCGTTGAAGATCTTTGAAGCGTTCCCACGCCTCATGTAGTGGCTCGTTTGGTTGTTGGGCGAAAGAGACAATTTGAGATCGGAGCTCTTGTGTCTTTTGATGAGAATAGTATCTCCCGATGAATTTCGAATACACTTGCTCTCAAGTAGTGAGGGATTCGGGAGCAAGCGTCATAAACCAAGCCTTAGCCCGGTCTTTAAGTGTTTCGGGAAAACACCTCATCTTCAATTGGTCTTCGTTGAGCCCATGGAGTGGGAAAGTTTGTAGAACATTATAGAACTCACGGATAAAATGGAGTGGATCTTCGTTTGGAAGCCCGTGGAATGATGGAAGTTGATTGTAGTGAATGGTTTTGGGCTCGTAGTTCCGAGCCGCTGGTCCCAATCGGATGCATGAAGTCACCGGCCCATGGTTGGGCTAGGTCACGGAGAAGGTATCGCGGAGGGTTGTTCACCTCCTCTTCATCGTTACGTGCCATCTTGCTTTGGTCGTTGGAATTTGAGGGTTCGAGAGAGAGATTGGCGAACAAGTCTCGTAAAGCCTCGTCAATGGATTTGTCCTTCGGAATGAGGACACGACCACTCCTAGTACGCATACAAAAACAAAAATTTGTTAGGAGCACCTGCTAATGAAGAAGAGTGAACTACAAATACTTCAAAAATACTAAAAATAAAACAAGAAAAACAAGGAGAAACACAAAACAATAAATCACAAGAACAAAGAGAAATACGAAAAATAAGTGAATAAACGCACGAAATAATTCCTAAACCTTCCCCGGCAACGGCGCCATTTTGTTTGCAATATTTTTGGGCAAGAAGTAACCGAGTTACCCGACCCGGGTCGTTCTCAAAGGAAGATTAGCCGGACTAAATCGAACGTTTATTTAATTTACAAAAGAGAAAATAATCCTAAACATTCTAATTCAATTTGATGATTGGATTTTTAAACTAAATTTTATAACTTTTTAACAATAATAAAATAACTAAAATGACAATAATATTCCAAGCTATTATTAATGCTATCGTTTTATTCGTAAAACTTTCAAACGAAAAATTCGTTTTACTAGTAAAAACTTTCGAACGATAAAGTTGTTTTACTCGTAAGAACTTTCAAACAAAAAGGTCGTTTTACTCGTAAAACTTTCAAACGAAAAATTCGTTTTACTAGTAAAAACTTTCGAACGATAAAGTTGTTTTACTCGTAAAAACTTTCAAACGAATAAAATGAAAAATATTATTTATAATGAATTTAAAAGTTTAGGGTATTAGGGATAATCAATTCCGGTTTTATTAACATTTATTAATAATTAAATTACTCGGTTAACCGGTTCACTTAATTAACTCATCTAGTAGTTTATCCGTACTAACTCTCGTAATATACAGATGAACTTTAAACAAGTAAATTAGTAAAACGGTTAACACATAAACAATACGTTTCCGAACATGTTTATTCCAAACAAATCAAGTTCTATCAATTTCGCCTCTATCGATTTTGAAATTGATTATGTAGATTAAAATGATGATCAATCATTTAACCATAAGATTAATAAAATTTGTAAAGATTGAGTAATAAAAATACTTATAAATGTTAATAAACTAAAATGATTATCCCTTAACCCTAATTAGGAAATTAGTTGATCATAGTAATTTTAACATACAAATTCTTATGGAAACAAACCATTGATAACATAAAATGAAAAGAAAACTTACTACTGATTCACAAGCAAGAGGAATTGCAAACTTAATGTCTCAACACATCAACAATCTTCAAACTTATATACTTCAAAATAAGAACTTACAAATGTAGAAAGTTTGAAAGATAAATAATAAATTACATAAAATGTTGGATGCCTTCCATAGATGAATAGGTTAGCTATTTATAGAGTTGAATAAAACATGATTCATCTAATTATCAACCAACATAAACCAAACTCCAACAATAAATCAACCAAAATCCAATCATAAAAAAAACTGCTAAAATCGCCCTCCGCGGCCGCGACGAGCTCCGCGGCCGCGGGATTTCAATGCTGAAGTTTGGGACTTGGAGCTGTTTTGGTCGCTGCGGCCGCGGCGAAGAAAATCTCGCGGCCGCGGGGACCAAAATCTGCACTGCACCATCTTACGATTTTTTCTCGTTCGGGTTCGTTTTAACTCGGAATTGAGTTCCGTTTTTTCCTACGCGTCGCTAACGAACCCCTCTATCCAATGATGCTTGCAAACCAATCTATTGCTCAGAGTACAAATTATTTAGAATTTCTAACCTTTAAAGGGTCGGTAACTTGCGCAGCTTTGCGTTTTGGTTCCGTCCGGATTCATCCGAACTTGAAATCAAACTCCGTTTTTTCCTATGTGTAGCCAATGAGTCCATCTACATAACCATGATTGCCCGATACATGTCATTCCCTCACGATGCACACAAAAAACAAGAAGAAAAACGGGAAAAACACACGGAAAACACAAAGGAAACCAAAATAAAGGAAAACACAGAATAAACTATAAAAAGAAATAAAAACCAACTAAAAGACATAAAACGGGGGAAAAAGAATGATAAAACAATAACGAAAATTGCAACAAAAATGGTCACAACAGGGCTTTAATAATAATAATATTAATATTAATAATACTAATAAATAATAATAATAATAAATAATAATAATAATGATAATAATAATATAATAATAATAATAATAATAATAATAATAATAATAATAATGTATCAAAAAATATCAAAAATTAAAAAAAATTATAAAAAATTACAACTATTAATTAACGATTGTTTTCAACGGTATTTATTATTCGCCGCTCTATATATAAAACTACACATCATATATGAACACATACTACAAACTCTTAAATAACATTTTTTTTTTTCAAAATAAAAAAATTATTCGAATTATTACACTACTTATTTTGTACGTTTTGGAAATTTTTACGATATTATATCACTATAAATTCTATCACTATATTTAATGTGTTAGGTCTTTGTCTCATTTGTTTCCTATTAGTCGTTCTGATTGAGTTAAATATTTTGGTGTGGAGTAGAATAAGAATATTGTTAATAATTATCTTTCAAAATCAATATAATCCGTTACAGCTCATACTTATATGTGAAGTGGAATAGCGAAATTTTAATATACAATGAATCAAGAGTATATTACTTACTTGCTGCAAATATTTACAACGCCCAACTCAAGTTAAACGGGTCAGTCCTAGCGAGTTTCGGGCTAGCCCTAACGGGCTTCGGTTTAAACGGTTCGGGCTTAAAAAACCTTGATTTAAACGGGCTACCAATAAAACGCCCTAACTCTGTTTTTTTTTAGCTAAACGGGCCAGCCCGTCGGGCCAAGAACCGTTTAACATCTCTAGGCATAACTCGAATAACTCTTGGATTATATATTGTACAATTCTTGAGAAGCATGCAAAACAAAATAAAAAGAAAGACTACCTTTATTATTTAGTTTCTTTGTGTATTTATTTTCCAAATTAATCTTATATGTTATTTCTATTTGTTTCCTTTTATGGTGAAGAAACAAGGTAAGAAAAACTACTGCTGGAACTTGAGTCATGTCTCCCTACCATTATAGAAAGAATGACAAAATTTCAAAAATAATACACTAAGTTAGGCATTGTTAACAAAAGAGGCATTTTGTTGTCCCCCATGAAAAAGAAACAAGAATTTGACATTTTGGTCGGAAAAGATGCACTAATCACCCCACCTGTATAAAAAAGCTGACGTGGTATGACTAAGTAATGACGTGACATTATAACTTTCTTTAATTTCCTACGTGGTACTTATGTGGCGTAAGTTGCACCCTCTTTCCATGTACACAACTACATGTAGATAAGAAATAAAATAAAAAAAATTAAAAAAGTCCAAAATAAAAAATAATAAAGACACATCAGCAAAAAATTAATAAAATAAAAATAAAAAAATAATAAAACTAAAAGAATAAAAAAATATATTTCATTAAATATATATTAAAAACATATTAAGAAAATTTCGATATAGTTCGTTAATATTGATATAGCCATAACGCTGTATAACGGTTCAATGCCATCGTGGTTCAGAGATTACCGAGTCGACGTACGTGAAGTCGACTCTGTCTGCAGATCCTTTATGGTATCTCCGGTTAAAGGTCCAGGCATTTCTCCCAGTCGACTTACACATGTCGACTAGCATAAGTGGAATCCCTCGGGGAAGACAGTCAAGCGCGTCAGGTTCTACTAACCATTGAATATACCAAGTCGACTCGGGTTGATATCCCGAGTCGACTGGGGAAGTCTTGAAACTCATGGACCTCGACGGCTCCAGTACACTTCAATATATCGAAGGAAGGTTGTTAAGGATAAGAAGGAAGCCTTCAAAGATAATGAAGGATCTAGATGCTGACTAGGAAGTGGATGGAATGCGAACCGACCAGGGCATTTTGGACATTTCCAGTAAGTCGGCCAGGGCATTTTGGGGACATCAGGTAAATGTTTTACTTCTATATAAAGGAGCTGAGGTAACTCCAAAACCCTAACTCCCATTCATTCTACATTCGTCTCCATTACTGCTGCTGCTCTCTCAAAGCAGCTCTCTTCATCTCTTTCATATACTGACTTGAGCGTCGGAGACTCTACGCCGGAAACCCCTCCGGCGTTGAGTTCTTGCAGGTGTTTTCGCGATTCAGCAGCGGTTTGGAGGATATCGAGTCAGATCTGAGCTCATTCCCATTTGTTCATTCCAGATCTGGGCGGTTTCTCATCGGTTCACTCCAGATCTGAAAGGAGACCCATCAAATATATATCAAAAAATTATTAAAAAATATTTTGTTAATATTTCATTAAAAATAAATATATTTTGTTAATATATATTAAAAATATTAAAAAAATAAATAAGTAATAAGAAACAAAACAATTTCTATATAGTTCGTTATATTAAAAAACTATTAAAAAAATAAAAAAATATTTCCTTAATATTTCGTTAAAAATAAATATATTTCGTTAATTTATATTTAAAAAATATTAAAAAATAAAATAAAAAAATAATATATATATATATATATATATATTTCGTTAAATATATATTAAAAAA